TTCTACCTCACTTTTAGAATCTGTAAAATGGGGATAATAATAAAATCTATCTCCTGAGGTCATGAGATAGATCAGATGAGATGATATGTATATATCATATAGTGCCCAGCACATAGCAAGCACTCAAGCAATATGAATCTTTAGAAGGAAGATTTGCTTTTGGTAGAAGCCTCTGGAATGTGGCCTGGGGATTCTCTTAGTCACTCTCTGCTGTAGTTATGTTGGTAGTTTCAGCCAAAATCCATTTAGGTAGGGGTGCCTGGGTGGCTCAGTTGGTTGAGCGTCTGACTCTTGGTTTTGGCTCATTTCATGATCTCACAGTTCATAAGTTCGAGCCCCATATCAGGCTCTGCGCTGACAGCAGAGTCTGCTTAGGATTCTTTCTCTCTCCCTCTCCCTCTCTCTCTCAAAATAAATAAATAAAACCTTAAAAACCTGAATTCATTTAGGAAAATGAGTAGATGTTTTGCCACCTGTTTGCTATTCAGAATTTTTAAAGGAAAACTTATGCTAATGTTAGCCTTTTCTCCCAAACCTAGATCTCAGTGTTGATCAGATGTAGTAGGTTTTCTTCAAGGTTTTAGAGCTGGTTTCTACCTCAAGCTCCTGAAAGTGCCATATCCCTGAAAGAACATTCCCTCATCTCCTACAGCTCCAGTGTAAAGACTACCTTGTGTGACCACAGTGGGATGCCAGATGGGGCAAATGAAGCATAACTAGTTCCTACTGAGCAGTCTCGGAGCCAGATGGGAGCAGGGGCTCTCCAGGTCACCTGGGCCACCCCTTTGCCTTTGGGACCACAGATGCCTCCCCTACATCAGACTGCATGCCAGAGATAGGGACTACAGGATTTCATTGCAGAGAAGAGGGGCTCCAGATTGAGCATTTTTGTTTGTAAACACATGGGTTGAAGTGCTTGACATGTATCATGCTAACCTTAAGGATGAAAGAGAAAACACATTCTGAATCTTAGGGAGTGGTAACTAAGATTTGGTCTCCCTTGCAGATTGCCCCAGGCTACTACGAATTTACTTTTAGCTGTCCAAATTAAATTAGCAAGTAATTAAGTCATGCAAGCAAAAGCTGCTTTCACATGATTATGAGACCCTTAAAACTATCCAGGTTGACTTTGCAGGGAAAAGAGCCTCTTTCCTGGTTTCTTCCTTCCTCCCCATAATGGGACATTGGAGTCCACGTATTGTTGAGATTGTGAAAAACTGAACCGCTAAGAAGTTCAAGCTCGAAGAGTGTAAATCTGTTTCCTGGATGCCCCTCCCAAGGATCTGTAGAAAAAGTGAATCTGCTCCTCCTCCCCCCACCCCCCAACCCCGGGGGAATTGGGATCAGCTCCAGTATGATGGGAGGGGTGGCCTTAACCAAAAGCCATTTCCTGTCCCGGTCCCACCCGCAGCCTGCTCTGACCCGCTGGGCGGCAACGGGGAGCTGGAGCCCCTAAGTGCTGTACCTCTCCCTGGGCAGCAAGATGGGCCACGCTGGTCACGTCTCCCTGGACAAAGCTGAAATAAATCACACACCAGCCCCTGCTTAAGATCTGATGAAATTCTCCATTTCCGTTCCAAATTGAATTCCTCCCGAAGGATTGGAGCAGCTCTTGAGAGTAATGAAGGCACTCCTTCCTCCTCTGCTAGAAGCATGTTTTACATTAACAGACACAGCCTTCTAATCTGGATGGAGAGGTAGCTTTTAGGAACAGTCCTGGGAAGCTGTTTTCAGGCCAGAAATGATATTTTTAATCTCGAGGGGCAAGGCAGCAGACATCCACCACCACGTGGCCTCTGTGGGGAGCAGCCCCGCTGGTGGTCTCCTGGGAAAGAATGGGAACACGTGTTCTGCTGTCGCTCTGTGCCTCCCCCCTCCTCTGCCCCCTGTCCTCCTCCGACCACTTGTAGCAAGGAAGAATTTATGATACAACCCAGGAGGCTTCTGCTTTTTGAGAGTTGGAAGTATTACTTTTCTGCCCATCTCTTATTTGGGAAAAGTGATAAACTCTGTGAATTTAAAAAGAAAACAGTTTTTAGGATGAAGATATCATTGAAGTGATTATCTTCATCCTTTGCAGTGATGAATCGACAATTTGGCATATTGTAGAGGCAGCTGACACAGGCCCTTTTAGGGGGAAACAAGACAACCTGTTTTCAAATGGGCCTTGTCAGAGAGAAGACGGATGACCCACTGGCTGATTAGGACCATGAATAAGGTTCTGAGAATGCGGGAATGTGTGAGGAGCCCAGGGGTGAAACTTATAAATCAAGGTTAAGGTAGAAGTAGAAAATTCTAAACATCCATCCTGTTTTGAAGGTGGGCAGGAAGTAGATTATCTGCCGGTAAAGGAGTATTTAATATTACTCCTTAAAGTGAGTTTAAGAGCATTATACTTTTCCTCACTCACTGTTGAAAAAAAAACAACAGGGTAAAAATCGTACGTAACATGAGCAATTCTGACATTTAGGGTCGAGAGGAGGAAATTCTCCTTAAAAGTAAATTCTATTGGTCCTTTTGTGTCAGAATTTTGTTAATAACCCTTGAGAAAGATTATCAAAACCTTACTCCATTTTTAATCCATGTTTTTAATTTAGTTTTAAGAAAGAAGCCATTTTCTTCATAGGGAAATACCACCCCAGAGTCGCCCACAGGTAAAAAGCCAAGCTCCAGAGTGCAGACTCCACTGCAGGAGGATTTGGGGTCTGGTTCTCAACTGGAAAATTGCTTTTCAGGGAGAAGGTCATGTTTTCCACTGATAATAGGGTCACTGATATCAAATGAAACACCCTTCCTTCCGACCCAGGAGGATGTTTAAGCTTTGATCTTTCTCCGAAGACAGTAGGAAATCCATATATTCCTGGCTAGGAAGAAGGGCCTGGGGATGGGAAGTGGGAACGTAGGATTCCAGCCACGCCGGTCCCGTCCTGAGCCCGGCCAAGACGCACGGAGGCCAGGCCGGGTGGAGTCTCCAGAGCACTGGCAGGTGGGGAGGGAGGTCTGGCGGAGACAACAAAGGCCGTTGGAGGGAAAAGATTAAAGGGCAGGAAAGCGCACAGCCACCCCTCACCCCCCACGCAGCTGCTTTTGTGCATTCCTTCAGGCTCTCTAGACTTTGATATTTGCATAAATGGGCCTTGGCTGGACTTCCACGTTGGGACAGAACAGCGAGCCATCACCGAGGACGGGGCAGGCGTTTTCTTTGTGGACAGTCTGGCCGTGACTTCACAGTCATCAGCTTGTGTAACCTTCGTGGGCTGAGTGGACGGGTCAGTCGTCCAGTCTCTGTAACTACGTGCGCACCGTCTGTGTCTCTGGCCAGCAGAGCCTTCCGATGCAGACTCCTCTTTGAGCCTGTTTACAAGGCCTGCAGTTACTTCTGTTTTGTTTTAGCCAAAAGGGCCAAGCGCTGCCAGCAGTATGTCTGGAATGTTATTTACTTGGTACATTTCTGTGGCTTTCCTTTGTAGCGCTGCGCATGCCAGAGCGAGCGGTCATTTACTCGAAAATGCCAGGTTTCACAGTTTGTCTTCTCTATGGGGTGACTTTCTCAGTAAGAAGGTTAGCTCCTGTGCCTGTCAGTTCCTTCCTCCCTTGCTTCCATCGGCCCTCCTGTCCTCCCTTCTTCCCTGCCTTCCTTTTTTGTTTTCTGACTTTGCCCTCTGAACTACTGCTGGTGGCTGCTGCATTGCCCCCCTCCCCCACCCGCCGCATCCTAAATGCCCCGACCACACGTTTTAATTCCTGGGGTTTCTGGTGGACTCTGCTGAGGGCCTGGCAGACACTTCATTTGTGTGCTTGCCCTGTTATTATTTCACATGAAAGCTGTCTATTTTGGCACACGTGGCTCCTACGATTTCAGTGGAGCTCTCCGAGCTGAATGGGCGATGTTGTGCAAGGGAAATACAGGTGGGGTTTTCTCTACTGGTGGCCGTGGGGGCGGAGGACAAATCTGCGAGCAGTCCCGGCTTGTGCAGAGCCGGCGTGGTAGCAAACAAATGGCTTTTGAAGGAGGGAACCCGTGTGTACAGTTTCTTAATTTGGGAGGTTTCCCAACTGTTCTTGTTCAAATGAAGGAGGAGGGATTTTTTTTTTTTAAGGCAAATTCTTCATTAATAAAAGTGTAAACAACTCCTGGATAAATGAAAAATGTGGACGGTGGAAGCAGAGGAGGTTTTCTATCTGCCTCTTCTTTTTTTCAGCCTCCCTTCCTCCCATTTGTCTATGCAATCTAATCATGGTATTTGGGGTTTTAAAACAAGGTATGGAAAATGAGATTAGATAAATCTCCCCAGCTGGGGCCAGCCCTGGGGCCATTTGCACACCTGGGTGTGTTGGCTCCCCCCACCCTCTGCCTAATTTTGTTATGTCATGTGAATGTATAAGCAGCTATAGATAGGAGATGATACCTTTGAAAATCTTTGCCTTACAGAGACTGGGCCTTCATCTGAGTCTCTCAGAAACCTCACCCATCCACGGCACCTGTTAGTGTGTTAACTCCATAACCAGCCCCAGTCCGAAATGGAAAATTTTTGGTTCCATTCTTCTCGGCCTTTCCTGTCCTTCTGCATGACTTCTCAATTTGCGTGTAAGCTGCTCGGATTTTTGGCTGAAGGGGCTTCTTTGATCACTCTCTTGACAGCATGGGCTTCACAGTCTCACACCTGCTCTTCTTTTACAGTCCAGATTTCAGAGTAAATGCTTCCATTGCCTTGTAATTTCTTCGGCATAAAACTTTGGTGCAGGTTACTCATTACAGGTAATAGCCGTTGGGTGACGGAGACGACTGCTTGGCACAAACGGCCACCTGAACCGCTGCCAGAAACGTAAACTGCCACTTTATTTGTTTCTGAAAGCATCTAAGCTGCAAGCCTATCCGTCATGATCTGGCATGCACATGATAATAACAGGCTCGCCAGGCTGAGAAAGCCGCCCCATGGGGCAACCACGAAGGCAGGCTCTAACAAGACTCCGTGTGTTTTCTCCCCCATTATCCACAGCCCACACATCATCTTCCTCTCTCAGAGCGTCTTGACGGGAAACAGCCATCTCTGTGGGACCCGTCTCTGCCATGAAATCGCTCACGCCTGGTTTGGGCTAGCCATCGGGGCCCGGGACTGGACGGAGGAGTGGCTGAGCGAAGGGTTCGCCACTCACTTGGAAGATGTGTTCTGGGCCAAAGCACAGCAGGTAGGTTTACAGTGACCCTAAGCATTTCCCCACCCAGAGTCAGATTCTCTTCACAGGCATCTGTTCATTCAACAGATATGTAGAGGGCTTATTGTGCACCAGGACTGCGCTGCTTGCTGGGGAGAGAGCTGTGTAAACAGAGAAAAGTCCCTGAGCCCTGGGGGTTCTCAATGCAGGGATAGGAGAGAGAATGGGGAAACAGACAAGCACATCTGTAACACGTCAGGTGGTGAGGACTGGAAGGCAGATGAAGCCGGAGAGCGTGGTGGGAAGCTGAGTTTTAGAAGGCACTAGAGGGCTCTCTGATAGTGGACATTTGAGCAAAGACTAGGAGCTCAGGTCAGGCTGTGGCATACCCAGGCACTCCCTTGTGGTTATGGTTGTGGTGATGTTGACTGTGTATGGTTTTGGTTCTTTACTAATAAGATAAAAATTTAAATCGGGAGTTGTCATCTCAGATGTCTGCTGGCAACTAATGAAGACTGAAACGCGGCTGGTGTAATAGGTTAGGGAGGGGTGAGGACTCAGGCCAACTGGGAGCTGCGCATCAGTGAGGGCCAATTGTCATCGTGTGGACGGGAGGGCTCGGGGGAGCCTGGACTCGTAGTTGTTTATTTATTTTTTTTTTTAATTTTTTTTTTCAACGTTTATTTATTTTTGGGACAGAGAGAGACAGAGCATGAACTGGTGAGGGGCAGAGAGAGAGGGAGACACAGAATCGGAAACAGGCTCCAGGCTCTGAGCCATCAGCCCAGAGCCCGACGCGGGGCTCCAACTCACGGACCGTGAGATCGTGACCTGGTTGAAGTCAGACGCTTAACCGACTGCGCCACCCAGGCGCCCCTCGTAGTTGTTTAAAGGAAGTTCTCAATCTGGATTTTTATGTGAAATTTAGTAATTTAAAGAATACTATGCCAAGCAAACATACCCAGAGGTATGGGCAACACTTTCCCAGTTTACAACCTCTGCTTTAAATAATTGGATGCCAGTGCTAATGAGGATATGGCAGCTAAACTGGTTCCTGCTTATGTTTTAGCTCCGAATATTTGATCACTTCTCTTCCCTGCCATCCCCACCCCTTACACGCTTACTGGACTAGTTAACATTTTCTGAAATCTTCAAGTTTGTGCATACCTGTGTGGTTTTGTTCGAGTTCCTTCTGCCTGTTGAAATCCTGTTTATTTTTCACTAACCAGCTCAAGATCACCTACTCTGAATAGCCCAGACTGATCAGTCCACTCCCAATTCAATACTTACTCTTCTAGAAGCTTTGAACTCCCCCCAGTATTTGGTACCTGCCTCTTTTCCCTCACTTTTTTCTTTTTCCCTCAAACCTCACAACTAGACTGTGACCTCTTCCCGAATGGAGCTACATCTTACTCGCCCTCCCACCCTCTCTGCCCCTTGGCCTGCAGCATGCACCCTGTGTCCCCTGCCACACAGTGAAGAGCAGCCACGTGGCAGGTTTGGGAAAGGTGGCTGGGTTTGGAGTCAGACCAGGTGTGGAATCCCACCTCTGCTGTTCACCAGCTCTGTAAGTGTGCGTAATTTATGTAGCCTCCCTGAGCCTCAGTTTCCTCATTTGGAAAATGGGTATAAGAATAAACATTTGCACTGTGAATGGGAAAATTATGAATGACACATGGAGCTTGTGCAAGAAATACCAGTTCTCCTTTTCTGCTCTCTTTCTCTTTGTATTTTCCACCATCTGACGCACAGTAGACATTTAGCAAGGGTTAAATAGGCTAATATCAATGAGCCTCTATCAACATCCCTTTTCTCAGGTGCTTCTGTCCTGAGACAATCAGATTTGTGCTATTCGTGATAAGTGTGAAATTTATTTCAGGCATGTAATGATGATCTCTCTGTTCATCATCTCCATCCCCACGAAGCACTCCTCCTTTGGCTTTGCCCCTGCCCATAGTTCCAGGGGATCACGCCTGAGTCTCATTGCATAGGTCCTGCCTCTTACGGCCCTGAATATGTCCATCTCCACTAGCAGAGACATGAAGCCAGTCTGGCCTCATCTCACAGCTGCATACCTTCTGTGTGTCCATCTGTGTTAGACCTGTAGAGATAATAAGATGGGTATGACACAACCCTGCTCTGAAAGAGGTCATAGTTGAACTGTGAAGATAAGAAAAGCACACAGTAGACAATAAGTTAGAAGAGAGAGGTAAACACCGAATATTGTATGGCTTCAAAGGTGGGAGAGGTCAGGTCTGAGCTGATCCAGAAAGTCTTCTTGGAGGAGGTGACTTCTGACATGGGCCTCAAAGGGAAAGCTGGAGTTGAGGTTTCTTTATCCCTCCTTTCCCCTTAACCTGGCACAGGAGACAACCCACCTCATCATCCTTTACTCTCTGGGCAATAACTCTTCTATATGTGAAAACACTTTGGTCTGAAATAAAGTGGCCATTCCGGATTTTAGCACAAAGTTTGGAAACATTTCCAGAGCACGTGGATCACTGTAGCTCCTTCCTTGAAGGGAGGTCTGAGTGTGTGCAGCAGACCTCCCAAGCATGAGAGGAGGGCTCTTTGGGGCAGGGAAGGGTGCATCGGCTCACAGGACTCTCCTGGCCAGCAGTGGATGTCACCAGGGAAGAGGTCATGAGGCACACTGGCCACTTGGCTGCCCAGATGACTGTGCTGTGCAGCACTGAACATTAGCAAGCAGGGCAAAGTGGGGAGGGGGAAGTCACTGAATGAGGAGATAGAAAGTGGCATTCCATAGGGAGAAGTGAATTGAGTTAGCTGCAAGATTGTATCATATAACTTGTCATCAACCCTGATAAAAATCTAAACTCCTTCACAGGTGTCTTAGCTCAGGCTGCCATAACACAATGCCACAGACTGGGAGGCTTAAACAACACTTGTTTTCTCATAGTTCTGGAGGCTAAAAATCCAAGGTCAATGTGCTGATAGGCTTGAGTTTTGGGGAGACCTTTCTCTCCTAGCTTGGTGATGGTCACCTCTCACTATGTCCTTCCATGGCCTCTCCTCTGCACATATGGAGAGAGAGCTCTGGCATGTCTTCCTCTACTTGTAAGGACCCCATTCCTGTTGGACCAGGGCCCATCCTAATAACCTCATTAACCTTAATTACCTACTTAAAGGTCCCATCTCCAAACCGAGTCACATTGGGGGTTAGGGCTTCAACATACGAATTTTCCATAGCAACAGAGCACACAGAACCTATTGATCATCTGGCCTCTGCTGGCTACTTGGCACCTCTGTCCCTCCCCAATAATAGCGTGCTCCCAGCCTGACCATATCCTTCACCATTCTGTAAACACATCACACTCTTTCTAGGCCCCATGAACCTTGCACATGCTTTCCCTCTGCCTGAAATTCCTCCTCCCCTGGCTGACTCCTCCTGTCCCTGGGGATCAGCACAGGCCCCAGCACCTCCTCAGGAAAGCCTTCTGACTCACCTGGCTGGCCAGAGGGCATCTAGATTCTTCCTTAACCTCTACCATGACTGCACTCTAATGGCTGGTGTTCTTATCAGTCTTCCTGGAGTACAGGCTGTGTCCGTAATGTACCCAGGGCCTGGCAGAGACTCAGTAAATATCTGTTGAATGAACCATTAAGGCTCTTTAGTTTCCAGAAATGCCTGTTGATACTGACATTTCCCTCCCTGGTGGATGTTCTGCTGCCCTCCCTTACAGAGACTTTAGCCGCAGGGCCTCATGAGCCCAGTGACAGCCGCCCGATTCTCACTAGCAGGGCAGGGAGTGATGGTGCTCCCCTCCCCCAGACTCAGTCCAGGCAGTACACTCTTTCTGGTTATATGCAGACAGAATCATCTGGGCTGCATTAGCAGGCTCCACTGTAAACAGCCCTTAACAAAACTGAGGGCTGGGAGAAGTAGGAGGTAAATGGAGGGGACCTGCCCCACCCTGTGCAGAAAGACAAAGCAGGAAAGGTCTGGATGGAATCAGAGTGGAAATGGCCCCCTAGGGAAGCCTGCTCTCTTGGGGCCAGGGTTGTGTGAAGGGTGGGTCTAGGACCAGGGGGCGCCTTTCAAACAGCCAGGCCCAGCTCTGTCACCAGCAGAAGAGTGAGCAGCTGGCTCTTTGAGGACCTGTCAGACCCCCTCTGCCCTCTGACTTTTCTGGTGGGGCACAAGGCCCAGTGGAGAGACCATCACCCTGAAACTGAGCAAGCTGCTGCTTTGGGCGGCTGTGACCCACACAAGGACAACAATGACCGTGTTTTGTGCACATGTGTTTGTGTGTCTGTGGCCCAAGCAGCTGGACCCCCACGAGGCCCAGGAGCAGCAGGAGCTGAAGGCTTGTCTACGCTGGTGTCGTCTCCAGGATGAGGTGCGGAACTCCCCGGAGGAGATGCAGGTGTTGAGGTAAAGCGCCAGGTGATCTCTTTACCTTCTCATCCTCTGCCTGCCACCGCCTTCCTTCTCTCCTTCCAGCCACCTCCTGGCCATCTGTGAAATCTGCTGCGTTTCCTTTTTAAATCAAATTGGGTTAGGTCACCACCACCCTCCCCATCCCAGGGATGTGATTGTTGTGTTTTGCGTCTTTCAGGGCTTTGCCTTCTGACATTTTCCTGGTGTCTCTGGCCAGGAAAAAACTAACACAAGGCCGTTTCCAGGACCAAATTCTTCATTTGACGTTCTAAGAGTCACTTTATGTGGTGGCTGAGGACTCAGACAAGGTTGGGGTCTGATGACCTGACAAAATAATAAGTAAATAAATAAATAAATAAATAATAAAAGCCAAAAAAAAAAAAACCTTTAGGAAAAACTTGATTCCTAAGTGTTTAGTAATAACAGATGTTTGTGTCAATGGGGCCTTTTGTTTCCCGTCTTCCCAGCAGGAGGCCGCTCCGGTGCCTGGGGAAGATTCTACTCCTAGCTCCTGAGTTTTGTTTTCAGAGTGTGACTTGTAGCACTTACTTGTAGGATTACTTCTTGCGCTTTTTCCGTTTTTGCCCCTCTCTGCTTTGCTCATTTCCTTCACTTCTCTAAATAGTTGTTATTCTGAAACCCGAAGACTAGGCCCTAGGAACGCCACGATTGCTATGACAACAGAAGCTTTCATCCTGCTAGAGCCAAGCATGTGGAATCCTCAGTCTGACAGGTGGGAAGGCAGCCATCCAGCAATAGCCCCTCATTTTTGATGACGACCCTGAAGGCCAGTCCGCCTCCCCAGCAGGGCCGGCCTGAAATGGTTCAGTTGTTGTTGTTTTTAAATGAACACCCCCACTCCACAGTGAGTGTCCACTGAGGCTAAGTCTGAGGGAAATGCATGGGGCCCAGCCCGACCCCAGGGAGGCTGGCTGGTGCTTTTGAGCAGCACTGCAGCCTGGGCGTGGCCACTCTTCCCACAGACAAGTCCCCCCAGCTCGCACGCAAACCTCTGCGGTCCGCTGACTCATCCATTGTTTAGGAGAGCCAGAGCCAGAGCCAAAGCCAGAGCCAGGAGCCCCGTGTCCCCTACCCAACACCACTGTTTGTACACCTCTGCACTCAGCCAGTGGGACGGCTATACCTCCCGTGGGACTGATATGGACAGCGTCCCTGATCTCATGGAGCTTCGACTTAGCGGGACTCTGTCATATTCACAGCTAGTTATGCTGAGAAGTGGCACGAAGGGAAGGTGTCTCTGAGGACCACGAAGGCTTGAAGTAGGAAAGGGCCTGACATGCTAGTGCCGGAGGGATGGTGGGGCCAGATGGGCAGAGAGAGGCAGGCAGGAGTCAGGTCAGCAAGCCTTACTCCAAGTGCCTGCAGCAGGGAAGGGTCATGATCTGTCTTGTGTTTTCAGTGCTGCTCTGGCAGTTGGGGGGGGGGGGGGGGTACAGGGAGCAGAGGGATGGCAAGGAGAAGGGTTAGAACCCGAAGTTATCCATGCAGGAGATCCTGGGGGTGGGGGGCAGATGCAAGGAATAGACCCATTTGAGACAGGTTTGGGTGGTGGAGCTGCCAGATCTTTGGTCATTGAATGTGGAGAAGAGGGAGATGGGAGTGTCCAGAATGATTCCAGGCTTTTGACTTGAGCAGCTGGGTAGACGGTGAGGCCATTTGGTGAGAGAGCCGAGATACCGGAAGGAAAAATAAAAATCCCAGTTTTGTAGGTGTTAAGTTTGGGATGCCAAATAGATACTCAATATTGATAACTCAGTGGGGTCTACAAGTCAGCAGCTCACTGGAGAGATTGGAACATTCAGACTATAAATACTTAAAACTGAGCACATTGAAATCACCAGGGAGAGAGGACGGCAAGGGAAGAGGTTGGAGGAAGGTGGGGAGCCAGCAGAGGAACTCTGGAAATCAGTGTGGAAGGGGGGTGGGGCATCGTAATGAACGTGAGTTGATGAAATGTGCTCCCAATTTATACACAGGCCAACCGCACACAGAGAAGTCATCACACACATGAGGAGAGCCTTATCTCTGCACTCCATGGGGCTGTGATCAACCCAGCCTCTGAGGGCCAAGAGCTTTTCCTGTGTGTATAGAGCCAGGAGAAGAAATACACTATATTTAGACCCTTGTGCTGGAAAGCTTATTATGGCATTTGTTTTTGTCTTAGTATTCAGAAATCGTGTTTGCCTAAATTTAGGCAAACCATGAAATGGCTGCATTTGAAAGATTTGTTGCACATCAGTATAGAAACCAGGGCTATCAGATGCGCTTACGGTGGAGATGAGATGTTTCTGAACCTGCCCCAAGTTACATAGTCTAGGTTTAGTTTACTCCCATCCTGTGGAATTCTCCCTTAAATGGGAATGGAGAGCCTAGAAATAACCGAAAGTGAAAAAGAAAAAAAGAATCAGAGTTATGAGAATTTGTTCTCAGGTTTTATTTTGGTTTAATATGCAAAGAAATCGCTTAAGACAAGACCATAATCAAAGACGCTATCTTTCTCCTCCCTCTCTTTCAAGATACCCCATGGTCTTGAAATGATGGACCAACAACAATTTAGAAGTTTGGTTTGTGTCTTGCTATGTTCCTCATTCCTCGGTGTTGACAGACAAAATGGAAACTTTTCTTACTCATCTTTGCAGTAGCTTTCAACATGGTTGACCACTCCCTCCTTCTAAAACCACTTTCTGCACTTGGCTTCTGTGTGTCACACTCTCCCTGATTTCCTTCTACTCCGATGCCAGCCCTTCCCCACCCCTCCTGCTGGCTATTCAACATCTTCACTTAGATGACTCATAGCTCAGAAAGAGAGATTAAGGTGTCCAACATCATACTGCTGATAAAGAGCAGAGCAGAGATTGAAACCTAGGGATGGAAACGACCCTCTTTTCCCTAGTCTCTCTCTGCTTTCAAGGAACTCGGTATAGCATTTAGTTGCATTTAAAAAAAAAGACAAAAAACAAAAAACAAACCCTGAAGGTATCTTGAACCATGGAAGGATACGAAGGTTAGGGTTAAAAAAATTATCATTAGGGGCGCCTAGGTGGCTGAATTGGTTAAGCATCTGACTGTTGATTTCGGCTCAGGTCATGATCTCACTGTTGGTGAGTTTGAGCCCCGTGTTGGACTCTGCACTGACAGCGTGGAGCCTGCTTGCGATTCTCTCCCTCCCTCCCTCTCTCTCTGCCCTTCCCCTGCGTTCTCTCTCTCTTTTTCAAAATAAATTAAAAAAACTTAAAAGAAAAAAGTATCCTTGGGCCAAGCATCTTTGTCTTTTACACATGAGTGCATGTGTCTGATTATTTCAGTAGCTATAAGAAAAAAAAAACCCTCAACATTGTGTTGATTATAGATATTGGAGTATTAACAAAGTGAGAAGAGAAAAACTAAAATTGTATTTGGCTCTGACGTGCTAATGTTATAACTGTTTCCCAATTGTGTCTTCCATACACCCGGTGTTGAACATGGCTCTCATCGGATATGTCCTGGATTGACTTGGTTGTAAGATTTCATTTGGTTACAACAGTTCCTGTGTTTTCCTTCTCAGCGTTCCTTGGCTGGGGAGCCTGTAATGTGGCGGCAGGCTCTTGCGGCATGACGATTTGCTCATAGTTTCAAAATGCTAGGGGTCACATTACTCACTCCATGTCTTTTCTCATTTGTTAATTATTAAAGATGCTTTTCCCATAGATGAGAGCCCGGCGACTCTCCCCAGACTCCCCCCCCCCCGCCCCCCCCCCCCCCGCCTCACCTGTCCACTGACCCTGGACAGAACTGTACGAGGCAAAGCTGATCTTACTGCTGTCCTACTCTGCCTGGCCGCCACCACTCTGCTCTCCTGTTGTTTCCACCCCCGCCCCACCCTTGACTGTGCAGCAGTCGTGACTCTTGCCAGGGAAGATGCAGAGGGCCTTCTGTAAGACTCCCATGCCTTTGGTCCCTGGGGCGCTGCTGGATTCTGGCATTCTCTCTCTAAAGAGCTTTACCCTGTGAGTGTTAGTACACTCTGACAGGTCTGCGGGACGGAAGAGCTACAGTGGCAGGGTCAGGAGAAATCTCTGTTGGTTTTTATTGTTTGTGATTTATTATCACTTCCCCTCTTTTCTGGATTCATTGTTAAAGTCAAGCTCATGCTGAGAAAAACGTGAAAATATATCATGTTGAGAAGGCGCTGACAGGCCCAGAGTCTGATGTGGCTCTTTCTCTTAGCTGCTGCCTCCACAGACGATATAATTCTAGAGAAACACCAATATCTTTTCCTACTTTCCTCATAAATGTCTCATTCCCTGGTCGAAAAGACATCCCATAATAATGGGGGGAACCCCACGTATGCAGCTCCACAGCCAAGACAAAGTGTGCGTGCCGTGCCGTTGGTTCTGTGGGTTTGCGTGACACCTGAACACTGGATGTTCCATTTAAAACAGTAAGACTTTGGGGGCACCTGGGTGGCTCAGTGGGTTAAGCGTCCAACTTTGGCTCAGGTCATGATCAAATGGTTCTCGCGGCTCTCACAGTGAGTTCGACCCCTGCCATCGGGCTCTGTGCTGACAGGTCAGAGCCTGGAGCCTGCTTCAGATTCTGTCTCCCTCTCTCTCTGCTCCTCCCTGCTTGCTCTCTGTCTTCTCTCTCTCTCTCTCTCTCTCTCACTCAAAAATAAGTAAACGTTAAAAAAAATAATAGAACAGTAAGACTTTTGAAATCAGTCTATGTGTACACCTCTGGTATGCATGAAGCTTTTGCCTTTAAAGTTTTTATCAAAATTTTTATTTCTGATCCTTGAAGAACACAGCAGTCTTTTCCCACCCACATGTGGGAACTCAGCCACTCGTAGCCACACAAAGCTGCCTCATGGGAAAGCTCCCGTCCTTCCAGAGTCCCTTGTTGCCGTCACGCACCCACCTCCAGCCCAGAGGCTCAGCCTCCGCCGCTCCTCCATCCTGGGGCCAAGACTCCCAGCGTGCCCACCTCAGTCTCCACCAGCCCCACAGCCTGGGAACAAATCTGTTCACTCTTTCCTGGGCAGCTCCCTTCCCCATGGTCTTCAGTGTTTATTCCAGACCTTTCCTGCTCTCTCTTCTCTTGCCTCCTGTTCCCCAGGGAAAACTGAAGCCATCAGCCATGTTCTCCCTTCAATTCTATAAATGCATCAACATCCATTTCTCCCTGACCTCTCAGATGCCTGAAGGCAACCTGTCAGTCTTTTTTTTTTTTTTTTCAACGTTTATTTATTTTTGGGACAGAGAGAGACAGAGCATGAACGGGGGAGGGGCAGAGAGAGGGAGACACAGAATCGGAAACAGGCTCCAGGCTCTGAGTCATCAGCCCAGAGCCCGACGTGGGGCTCGAACTCACGGACCGCGAGATCGTGACCTGGCTGAAGTCGGACGCTTAACCGACTGCGCCACCCAGGCGCCCCAACCTGTCAGTCTTAATACAGTTACAGACAAATTTCTAGTTCCAGAGGTAGAAGTGGAAATGCATGTGCATCGACGCAAGTCTAGAACTTGCATATACCTAGGTGAGCTTTAAACCTTCTGCCCATAAGGAAGAAGGGAAGTGGGGGGGGATCCATATATGAAGGGAGAATGAAGTTGCCATCACTTTGGGCCATGGGCTGGGGTCATGAGTCTAGGGAAACTTTTTTCCTAAGGCCATTTTGCCCTTAAGATCACCAGATTCTGTAAATGTATTCCGGTCTTTATATTATTGGAACTCCTCTGCTTTGTTTGATACTATTGATAACTCTTGCCTTCTGGGGATCTCAGTCGCCTGGCTTACCTCTTCTGGCTCTTCTTCAGAGTTCTTGTTTCCTCGGAGGCTCCACTCTTAGAGTAGTCTCATCCCTCTGGAGTAGTCTCATCTACACCCCCTGCCTTAGGTGGGATTCCCCACAAGCAGACCCTGAGACAAGATTCATGGGGAAGAGATTTATTAGGAAGTATTCCCAGGAGGGGAAGTAGAAGTGAGGAGAAGGAAAGGAGGCCAAGCCAGGATCAAGTCAAGTCACATAGGATTGCTGTGGAGGCAGTGCGGGTCAGTCTCAGAGTTGTCCCCACCAGGGTGTGGCTCAGCGTGTGTACATCCCTTTGCCTATCCTCATTGCTTGGACATTTGTACATCCCGAGGTACTTCTGTCTCTTGTGTTTACAGGTAGAAGAACCTCAGGCAACCAGAGAGCCACATCTGACAGAGTCATGGAGAGCAGGACAAGAGCTAATGTGCACACAGATAATAAAAAGGCCCCACAGAATGTGAGTGGGGCATGGGCACTGCTGACTATACCTCCTCTCTGTGCTGGAGGCTCACACATCCCCAGGCCAGCCCCATTCTCTCTTAAAGATCACATGTGACTGCTTAGCTGCCCACTTGACATCCTCTTTTCCTGCTGGCCCTACAGCCGTCTCACACTGGTAACCCTGTCCCATGGGCCCCATCTGCTCACCTCCTATGGTGGTGAGCCCATCAGTGGTGGCTCAGGTTCTCACGTTCATCCCAGGTTGAAAATGGGGGTCTTCCAATTCTCCCTCCTCTCTCCTCCTTGCCCTGGGAGGGTTTAAGTCATCACTATGAACTTCTCTCACAAGTGTTCTCAGTTGGGCCCTTCTCCACTCCTAATACTGCTGTCTCCCTGGTTAGAACTTAACTCACTGGCACCAATCCAACAGCTCCCGAATTGTCTCTAGTCATCAAGTCCACCTTCCTCACTGCCACCGTGGAGCTTTCCCTGAAACACCTTCTAATTCCGCCACCTCCTTACTTAAAACTCTCCAAAAGCTTCCCTTCACCTCCTGGAAAAACTTCCAAGTTCCTTAATACAGCAGGCACAGCCCTGCACGCCACCACTCCTACCTGTTTTTTACAGTCCCTTCTCTTGCCATTTTTTGCTTCACCCCAGCCCCCTCACTGAGGTCATATAGAACCCTACAGTATTAGTTTGCCAGAGCTGCCATAACAAAATATCACAGACTGGTATGTGGAAATTTATTTCTTATGCTTCTGGAGGCTAGAAGTCCAAGATCAAAGTGTTAGCAGGTGTGGCTTCTTCTGCAACCTCTCCTCTCTGAGCCCACACATGGTCTTTCCTTTGTGTGCCTGCATTCCTGGTGTCTCTCTGTGTGTCCTAATCTCCTCTCCTTGTAAAGGGTACCAACCAAATGCCTCATTTTAACTTAACTAGCCCTTTAAAGGCCCTGTGTCTAAATCTAGTTGCATTCTGAAGTAGGGCGGGTTAGGGCTTCAACATAAAAATTTTGGAGAAATGTAATGCAGCCCATAACATCTACTGTCTGCCTGTTCTTTCTTAACCTCCTTGCCTTGTTTTCATGTGGTCTCTATTAGAATGTCCTCCCCTTATTGCATGACCCCAAATCATCATGATTCAACACAGGTATCACCACATTCCAAAAGTCTCAGGCTCTCTCCTGACAATATAAGCATGTGACCCTCATCTGTACCCCCTAAATGCTCTGGTTGTATCTCCATCCCTCATCTTACTACATTATTTGATAATTAAATTCAGAATGAGCCATGTTATATTGCCAATTATCGACCCTTTTTAACCTACAAACACATTAGTTTCATATGGTCCAACCTAATGCAACTTTCTTCTGAGTCATGAGCCTTGTGAATCCAGGGACTTCTTCACCTCTGTATACCACAGGGTTTGGCACTAAATGGATACTCAATAAATGTTGAAGAAATGAATGTCCTAGACAACAATGATCTCTGTCCCTGAGGTTCTTTCTATATTATTTGCAGCATTGAAATATTGGTCAGAAGACAGTAGATAGAAAAACCCTAGGCTGTATCCTCAGAGTTCTAAGGACTGGGAGATTACTGTTGGCAGGTTTAGCTAGAAAGGGTGGCTGGGAAGATGTGAGGTTTGAACTGGGATGGAAAGAAAGGCTAACATTGAGACTGGGAAAGAGCTGGAAGGAAGGGAACTCAAGGAGCAAAGCATGGCAGGCATAAACAGTGAATTAATTGTGGAAATGGACATTAAAGTGAGAATGAGCTTCCTGGAAAGGATAGCCATCAGGAACCCCATGAGACTGAAGGGGGCCAGGGAAGGACAGGCTAAGTAATGGAGTTCCTTAGATGCCAGATTCAAAAGTTTGCACGTGACCATCCAGGCATTGGGGAGCTATTTTCAGTTCCAAGAATGACATAATGAAAATGAGAGTTCTGGGAAGATTACCCAGCCTGTGAGATCACACATGATCAGAGAGACAGAGACTAGAAGCCATTTCAGGAACCCACACCTGAATTTAGAAGAGCTTAGGATCCTCTTCCTGGTTGGCCTAGGGCTCTAAGTGGCTCATTTGGGGCTATTCAAAACTGGTTGGAGAGTCCATACAACTTCAGAGAAGGCTTCTAATAATAGGATGTAAAGCTTTCTCTGATTGCAGATAAGGATTGGATTGACCCACTAAAGGAAGTGGTTGAATATGTGGGCTTTGTGAAGTTTGTTATGACTTTAACAGAGTGAAAGGCAATAGTCCCAGCTCCTTATTGGCCAAAGCCTGGTCTGTCCTGCCTCATTTTAGAGAAACAACAGCTGCGAATGAAGGTCTGGACCCTCTCCAGAGCTTGTCAGTCTTCAGGTCTCAACCCCGGAGAGTAGTCTAGGGTTTAGGAAGCCAGAGTGCCTGGATTTGTGTCCTGTTCTGACTCTTCCACTTGCTGAGTGACCTTGATAGAGGTACACAGCATAATAAGCTTTGGTCTCCTCACTCTAACATGGGGATGATAACACAATGGTTTCTACTTTATAGATGAGTAAGAGGGATAATGTGATGAATATGTACAAATCACTTAGAACACATATATTGGGTTGAGTCACAGAGAATTGCCGTTTTGGTAGATCTAAAATGGCTCAGTAGTGTCAGTTTCCAATGATTCAACCTACAGTAAACACTCAACACATGTTAGGTACTGTCATCTAGACCCTCTGACACTTGGTCAATATTTACCCAACGAGCGACGGAGGGCACAAGGACACAGCCCTCGCAGCCAGCCCCACTCTCTCTCCTGGTTTGTTCTGGTTTCTGTCTCTTCTCTCACTGCTGCTGTCCTCCTCTGGCGAACACAAAGGCACTCTTCTCCTGTCTCTTTAGCAACTGGAGCCTGGAAACACTACTTTTCCTCTTGATTAACTTGGAATTGGCAAGAATGTTCAAAAAGTTAATTTATAAACTTAAATTTTTTTCATTATTTATTTTTGAGAGAAAGAGACAGAGCGGGGGAGGGGCAGAATCTGAGAATCTGAAGCAGGCTCCAGGCTCTGAGCTGTCAGTGCAGAGCCCAACATGGGGCCTGAACTCGCAAACCACGAGATCACGACCTGAGCTGAAGTCGGATGCTTAACCGACTGAGCCACCCAGGCACCCCGAAAAGTTAATTGTATTAAGAAGTTAAGAGGATTTTTTTTTTAATTTTTTTTAATGTTTATTTATTTTTGAGAGAGTCAGAGACAGAATGCGAGTGGGTTGGGGCAGAGAGAGAGGGAGGCACAGAATCTGAAGCAGGCTCCAGGCTCCGAGCTGTCAGCACAGAGCCTGACGCGGGGCTCCAACTCACGAACTGTGAGCTCATGATCTGAGCCAAAGTCGGACACTCAACTGACTGAGCCACCCAGGTGCCCCAAGAAGTTAAGAGGATGTTTAAAGAGGGGGTGGGGGAGCAAGAATGCCTGGTTACCAATGAAAAAGATGGGATTAAAAACAAAAACAAACCCCCCCAAAAAGTTTGAACATTAAACAAAGATGCTTAAACTAATAGCTTGTGGCAAGAATTACCTCGGCAATGCTTCTAAGACAAATGGAATCTTCATACCTTCCTGGAACCTACTTTTGGTCTCATCTGTACATCAGGGCCACACTGGTGTCCCCTCTGGTGCTGCTCGCTCGGTACAGTTCCCCTGGCATTCTGTGCAGAATCTGACCACAGCCCTGAGGAGAAAACAATTCTGGCCTCTATGGCTTCAAGCGTTCTTACCTGAGTTCTGACCGCTGGCACTGGCCTGTGCACTTCCTGGGATCTCTACATACATACGTTGGAACTCCTACCCTCCACTCCATCCCTCAAGCCCGGGACCCCCTTCACCCCATTTTTTCTGTCTTGTTCTCTTTTTTTGAGCTGCACACACTAGCAAGCTAGCTGTAGAGATGGTTTCTACCCTTTCGTGACAGGATGGTGCTGTACCTGTGCCAGCATTTTCTGAAAAACCTTAAGGCTCTCAGCTAGCCAGAAACAGACTCTGCCCTTTCCTGTCTCAAAGGCCAGCTCCCTCCCCCTGAGCTGCCCACTCAGTTCCTGTTTCCTGTTGGAGGGACACCCTCAGTTCACACTTCTTTTACCCGGCAAAGATGATAGACATGTCCTGAATATTTGAACTCAAATAGCACTCCCTGTTCATTTTTCTGAACCATTCCCTGGTTACTCATCACTCAGGTATTTCTAAGGGAGGGATAGAATTCTCCTTGATAGGCCCCTAATTACATATTTACTGTACATCGTGTTTCATTTTTACAATTACATTTAGTAGGGTTTTTTAAATATAGAAAAACTTAAGAAATAAAGTAGTTCATAATCACTGCTTAGTTAACCATGGTGTGGGGGTGGGTTTGTTTTGTTTTGTTTTTGTAATAAAAGTACTAAGAGGAAAACCCAGACAGTTTAGAAAGGTGTTAATTCCATCCCCACCATTGCAGTCTTCATTCACCCTAAGATAATCTCTGCTAGCATTTTCTTGTGAATCCTTCCAAAAATAAATTTTGTAAGTATACACGCATACTTCTGTATTGCTCCCCCGTGTGCGACTGATTCATTATAACACTATTTGCCTGTGAAATATTTTCCTAAAACATAATACTAGTCCTGTATAATAATAATTCATGTATATAAACCAATCTATAATAATTCACTCTTATTTTGCCTCTGAGGATATCTCACACACTCAGCCAATCCTAGCATGATGTACACTACATTCATGGCTAGTGAGTGTTAGTTGCCCGCTCAGAAAAACTCTCATCCTCCCTGTACACTTCCCCCCAACACCATCATTTAGTTTGTTTTTTGGCCAATAGTTTTGACCAAGAATGGCTGGCAAACAATACAGGTATTTGACTGGACTGCTGCAAGGACACATAAAAAGAATCTTCTACGTGTTAAGTTTTATAAGGGCTTCTTCCTCTTTCAAGTCAGTGGTGGAGGAGATAAAGAATAAAAAAGAGGGATTATATTTGTGTTCAAGATTGCACTGGAGGTTCTAGCCAAGGCAGTTAGGTAAAAAAGTGAAATAGAAGGCATCCAGATTGGAAGGGAAGAAATAAAACTATCTCTTTTTGCAGGCAAAATTATTTTATATATAGGAAATCCTAAGGAATTTTCTCTCCAAAAAACTGGCAGAACTAATAAACAAATTCAATAAGGTTGTGGGATACAAGATCAATGTACACAAGTCCATTGTGTTTCTATACACTAGCTATAAATGATCTGAAAATGAAATTAAGAAAACATTCATTTGCAATAACATCAAAAATAATGAAACAGTAATAAATTTAACAAAAGAAGTGCAATACAGTGGAAACTACAAAACATTGTTGAAGGAAACTGAAGAATGAAGTAAATGGAAAAACATCTTGTCTTCATGAATTGGAAGACTTAAGATTGTTAAAATGGCAATGCTCAGTGTCAAAATTCCAGCTGCCTTTTTTTTTTTTTTTTTTTTTTTTTTTTTTTTTCAGAAATGGACAAGCTGATCCTAAAGTTCATACGGAAATTCAAGGGACCCAGAATAACAAAAATGATCTTGATAAAGATTGAGGACTCATACTTCTCAATTTCAGTACTTACCACAAAGCTACAGTAATCAACACAGTGTGATACTGGCATAAGGACAGACATATAGACCAATGGAATAAAATTGAGAGTCTGGAAACAAACTGTTCTTTCTGTTTATGATCAGCTGGTTTTTGACAAGGGTGCCAAGACCATTCAATGGGAGAAAGAATAGTCTTTTCAACAGATGCCATGGGGTAACTGGATAGCCACATGCACAAAATGAAGTTAGACCCTCTGCTTCATACCACATACAAAAATTAACTCAACATGGATCAAACCCCTAAATGTAAGAGCTAAAAACATAGGTATAGATCTTCATGGCCTTGGATTAAGCAACTGTTTCTTAAACTAAAGAACAAGTGACCAAAGGGGAAAAAAATCAATAAATTGGACTTCATAAAAATTAAAAACTTTTGTGTTTCAAAGGACTCCATCAAGAAACTCAAAAGACAACCCACAGAATGGGAGAAAATATTTGTGAATCATATATGAGGGACTAGTATTCAGGATATATAAAGAACTCCTATAACTCTTATAACTCAAAAGACAACTCAAAAATGGGCAAAAGGGGGCACCTGGGTGGCTCAGTCAGTTGAGCATCTGACTCTTGATTTTGCCTCAGGTCATGATCCCAGGGTCATGGGATCAAGCCCTGTGTCAGGCTCCATGCTGAGTGTGGAGTCTGCTTGGGATTCTCCCTCTCTTTCCTTCTGCCCCTCTCCCCCATTCATGTGCTCGCTCGCTCTCTCTCTCTCAAGTGATTTTTTTAATGGGCAAAGGATTTAAATAGACATTTCTCCAAAGACGATATACAAATGGCTAATAAGCACATAAAAAAATGTGACATTATTAGCCATCAGGGAAGTGCAAATCAAAAC